AAATCCTTTATATTTCTGCATTGTCAGTTGTGATTTCTTCTTTTTCATTTCTAATTTTGTTGATTTGTGTCCTCTCCCTTTTTTTCTTGATGAGTCTGGCTAAAGGTTTATCCGTTTTGTTTATCTTCTCAAAGAACCAACTTTTAGTTTTATTGATCTTTGCTATTGTTTTCTCCATTTCTATTTCATTTATTTCTGCTATGATCTTTTTTTTTTCACATCTTTATTGGAGTATAATTGCTTTCCAATGGTGTGTTAGTTTTTGCCCTACAACAAAATGAATCAGTTATATATATACATGTGTTCCCATCTCTCTTCCCTCTTGCATCTCCCCCCCTCCCTCCCCCCCTATCCCCCCCTGCTATGATCTTTATGATTTCTTTCCTTCTACTGACTTTGGGTTTTCTTTGTTCTTCTTTCTCTAGTTGCTTTAGATGTAAGGTTAGATAGTTTATTTGAGATTTTTCTTGTTTCTTGACGTTGGATTGTATTGCTATAAACTTCCGTCTTAGAACTGCTTTTGCTGCGTCCCATAGGTTTTGGGTCGTCGTGTTTTTGTTGTCATTTGTTTCTGTGTATTTTTTCTATTTCTTTGATTTCTTCAGCGATCTCTTGGTCATATAGTAGTGCACTGTTTGGCTACCATGTATTTGTTTTTTACAGGTCTTTTCCTTTAATTGATTTCCAGTCTCATAGCACTGTGGTCAGAAAAGATGCTTGGTACGATTTCAATTTTCTTAAATTTTCTGAGGCTTGATTTGTGACCCAAGGTGTGATCTATCCTGGAAAATGTTCCGCGTGCACTTGAGAAAAATGTCTGTTCTGCCAATTTCGGGTGTATTGTCCTATAGATATCAATTAAATCTATCTAGTGTATTTTGTCATTTAAAGCTTGTGTTTCCTTACTAATTTTCTTTTTTGATGAACTGTCCATTGGTGTAAATGGGGTGTTAAAGTCCCCTACTATTATTGTGTTACTGTCGATGTCCCCTTTTATGGTTGATAGCATTTGCCTTATGTATTGAGGTGCTTCTGTGTTGGGTGCATAAATATTTATAATTGTTATATCTTCTTCTTGGATTGATCCCTTGATCATTATGTAGTGTCCTTCCTTATCTCTTGTAACAGTCTTTATTTTAAAGTCTATTTTATCTGATACAAGTATTGCTACTCTAGCTTTCTTTTGATTGCCATTTGCATGGAATATCTTTTTCCATCCCTTCACTTTCAGTCTGTATGTGTCCCTAGGTCTGAATTGGGTCTCTTGTAGACAGCATATATATGGGTCTTGTTTTTGTATCCATTCAGCCAGCCTGTGTCTTTTGTTTGGAGTATTTAATCCATTTACATTCAAAGTTATTATCGATATGTATGTTCCTATTACCATTTTCTTAATTGTTTTGGGTTTGTTTTTGTGAGTCTTTTTCTTCTCTTGTGTTTCCCGCCTAGAGAAGTTCCTTTAGCACTTGTTGGTTTGGTGGTGCTGAATTATTAGCTTTTCTTTGTCTGAAAAGCTTTTGATTGCTCTGTCGAATCTGAATGAGATCCTTGCTGGGTAGAGTAATCTTGGTTGTAGGTTTTTCTCTTTCATCACTTTAAGTATATCCTGCCACTCCCTTCTGGCCTGCAGAGTTTCTGCTGAAAAATCAGCTGATAACCTTATGGGTATCCTTTGTATGTTGTTTTTTGTTTTTCCCTTGCTGCTTTTAATATTTTTTCTTTGAATTTAATTTTTGTTAGTTTGATTAATATGTGTCTTGGTGTGTTTCTCCTAGGGTTTATCCTTTATGGGACTCTCTGTGCTTCCTGGACTTGGGTGGTTTCCCATGTTTCCTTTCCCATGTTAAGGAAGTTTTCCATTATAATGTCTTCAAATATTTTCTTAGATCCTTTCTTTTTCTCTTCTTCTTCTGGGGCCCCTATAATTCAAGTGTTGGTGCATTTAGCGTTGTCCCAGAGGTCTCTGAGATTGTCTTCTTTTCATTCTTTTCTCTTTATTCTGCTCCTCGGCAGTTATTTCCACCATTTTGTCTTCCAGGTCACTTATTCGTTCTTCTGCCTCAGTTATTCTGTTATTGATTCCTTCTAGTGTATGTTTCATTTCAGTTATTGTGTTGTTCATCTCTGTTTGTTCTTTAGTTCTTCTAGCTCTTTGTTAAACATTTCTTGAATTTTCTCAATCTGCGCCTCCATTCTATTTCCGAGGTTCTGGATCATCTTTACTATCATTACTATGAATTCTTTTTCAGGTGGTTTCCCTATTTCCTCTTCATTTACTTGGTTTTGTAGGTTTTTACCTTGTTCCTTCATCTTGACACTTGACATATTTTTTTATCGTCTCTCTCTCTTTTTTTTTTTTTAATGGGTGGGATTGTATTCCTATTTTACTGGTTGTTTGGCCTAAGGCTTCCAGCACTGGAGTTTGTAGGCTGTTGGGTAGAGCTCGGTCTTTGTGCTGAGATGAGGACCTCTGGGAGACCTTACTCTGATGACTATTCCCTGGGGTATGAGGTTTTCTGTTACTCCAGTGGTTCGGACTCAGAGTTCCCACCACAGGCGCTCTGGCCCAACCCCTGGCTTGTGAACCAAGATCCTGCAAGCCATGTGGGGTGGAAAAAAAAAAAAAAAGGAAAAGGTAAAAAGGAGCAGAACAATAACAAAGAGAAAATAAAATAAGATTAGAAAACTAACAGATATGTTAGAAAGAATAAAAAAAGAAAAATATAGATCAAACAACAACCGGAAGGTAAAAGAAAACTGCAGTAGTAAAAAACAGGAGTTTAAAAAAAAAAAAAAAAGCCAAACAAGGCCTTGGCTATGGGGGTGGGGCTTATGCAGGGACAGGGTTTAGGTGGTGGGTGGGGCCTATGCTTAGAACCCACAGGGCTGGAACAGGCCCTGCGGGGTGGTGGGGGTTGGGGCTTAGGCTCAACACAGCAGGAGGTGCCAGGAGTGCCTCTGTCCCTGGAGGGCAGAGTACCAGGTCCAGGACCCCAGCAGGCTCACTGGGCCTGAGTGGGCAGGGGCAATGCTAGGCGCCTTCCCCCTAGTCCTCCGATCCCAGAGGACCCCTCCCCATTGGCCTCTCTTGTCCCCCCCCCCCCCCCCCCTCCCCATGCCCCTAGGACCCACACGGCAGGAGAGGGCTCCGGAAGGCAGGGGACCAGACCCCAGCAGGCTTCCTGGAGCTGAGTGGGCAGGGGAAATGCCCGCGGTGCTTCCCCTGATTCCCCGGCCCCAGAGGGTCTCCCCTGTCCACCTCTCCTCCTCTTTCCCTCTTCCCCCCTCCTCCCTTTCTCCTATGCCCCTAGGACCAGTGCAGCCCGGAGGGGGCCTCAGAGGGCTGGGGACCTGGCCTGGGATCCCAGCAGGCCTCCTGGCCCAAGTGGGCTGGGGAAACACCAGTGGCACCTCCTCTGACCTGGCCTTAGAGGGTTCTCCCCCACTGTCCACCTCTTTTCCTCTTACCCCCTCCTCCCTCCCTCCCACACCCCTAGGACCCATGAGGCCAGAGGGGACCCTGGAGAACGAGCACGGATGACTAGGCTGAGAGCCCAGCAGACTTCCCAGGGCCGAGTGGGTGGGGGAAACGCCCACGGCACCTCCCCTGATCCTCTGGTCTTGGAGGGCCCCAATATCCCACCTCTCCTCCCTGTACCTCCCTCCTATGCCCCTGGGATCAATGCGGACTGGAGGGGGCCTTGGAGGGAGGAGGACCTGGCCCGGGAGCCCTGCAGGCCTCCTGGGGCCCAATTGGACAGGGGAAATGCCTGATCCTCCGAGCCCCTGAGGATCCCTCTAGGCGTGGGAACCCATCCCCCATCCCAGCCACCCCTCAGGGGTGCCATTCCTGTCCGACCTCCACTTCTCCTCCCCCCTCACTCCCCCATGTCCTACCCAGACGCTCTGGGGTTCCTCCCGTCACCTTGGGCATCGAGGGCCCCCACCAGTGTCCCACTGGCACCCTAGTTGTGTCTCCATGTGTCCTTTAAAAAGCATATTAGGGCTTCCCTGGTGGCGCAGTGGTTGAGAGTCCGCCTGCCGATGCAGGGGACACGGGTTCGTTCCCCGGTCCGGGAAGATCCCACATGCCGCGGAGCAGCTGGGCCCGTGAGCCATGGCCGCTGAGCCTGCGCGTCCGGAGCCTGTGCTCCACAACAGGAGAGGCCACAACAGTGAGAGGCCCGTGTACCAAAAAAAAAAAAAAAAAAAGCATATTAAAACTTAAAAAATTTTGAAACTAAAGTTCTAGTACATTTCTTGTTAGGATTATTCCTAAGTACTTTATCCTTTTTTGTTTTTTATTACAAATGAAATCTTCCCATCTTTTATATGTCCTTTGGTTCTTTGGCTCTTTCTTATATGAAAATGTTTTGATACCTTTCTAAATGTTGCCTCCCAGGGTTTTAACTTGCCTGTTTCTTTTAAGGGTAGGATCCATAACTAAACTTAAATTAATGAGCTCTTCTTATGGGCTTGACATTGTTTTGGATACTACTGTTACTCTAAATGATGTATTTTATGTAATCTCAGATCTTTCCTAGGTATGTCACATGGTTGTGCTGTGTTGATCTCATTGTTGAGACTCTTTTTTGTATGTGCTGTTATCATGCCATGACTTTTCAAGTCACTCTTTGAACTGTTGGTTTGGGGACTGACATGCAGGGCCATGCATGCCACCTCTGTATGCATCAGTGCTACAGAATGTTCATCACCTATCCTGGAAAAATAGCTTGTGGCTAAGTGGCATTTTGAAATAGAATATGGAAAAGTGGATTGGGCCCATTTCCTTAACCTAAACAGGTGATGAAATACTGACAAAATTTAACAAAAAAAAGAAGGCTGTGTAAGTGCAGGATTCTTTAGGGGTGTGTAGCAATAAGCACAGTAAAAATGAAGTTTGAGATGCCGAGCACATAGTCCACTTGGTGCTGGGTGGTGCTAGAGTGTCACATGCAGGCCCTACTTACAGGGGAGTCATTTGGATGTTCTTTTCCCAGAGGAGCTCTATGGTGACTTTGAAGACCTGGAAACAGGGGACGTGCACAAGGGAAAATCAGGCCTGGATACTCAGGTATGACCTGGCCATGGCCAGCCATCAGCCACTGGTCCTTGATCTGTGGTCAGTATGTTCTGCAAGAGGCCCCATAAGAGATGGATGGATTCCTTCCTAAAAGTGAAGAGTGTGGGAACGAACCAAAAGTTGTTGGTTTACTTGTTATTGTTAATTTTCTTGAGTGATACCTATTACATCTTCTTCTTGTTATGATTCTTCAGTCATTGAAAGTTTTAGCTCCTGGGTCACTGTCTTGCCATTATTCTCCTCCACTTAATTTTAAGTGCCGCTTTAAAAAAGTAATAATTCCCTGTTCTCCCTAAAATTTCTTTAGGACAGTATCTGGGAGCATCTGGGTTGGGAACAGTTGCTATTATTTTTATTCATGTTTGGCATTCCCAGCCATATTAAGGAATGGCGGCTAATTGTAATGCAGATGTCTAAATGTCTCTTGTTGCAGTACATGTTATTTAGAAACAAAGGCTGTTTTATTTTGTTTTCATGATGATCATAACTAAGATTTTTGCAGCTCAGATAGAACTTTTAAAATCTGCCTTAATGTTTAAAGAAGAAGTTCTCCACAAATTTTTACAAAATTTTCTCTTCTGGAAATTTAAGGTTGAAGATGTGGAGGAAGAAGTTAAAGAAGAAATTGACCCCAATGCAGAGGAAAGTGCCAAGAAAAAGCATTTGGATAAAAAGAGAAAATTGAAAGAGATGTTTGATGCAGAATATGATGAAGGAGAAAACACATACTTTGATGATCTTAAAGGAGAAATGCAGAAACAAGCACAGGTGAGAAAACTCAGTTCCTATCAGCCTCATTTCAGGGCTGTAATAGTGCTGTGAATACGTAACTTTGTTTAGGTCTTTGCTCCCTGCCTGCTTCTGGGCCTCCTGTTTGGGCTCCTAGGTCAAGATGCAAATAGGTGTGTTTATTCATGCAGTTATCTAATTGTTTCTTCAGTCAGACATTTACCAGAAAAATATCAGTGTCTGTTTTGTACCAAGCATTAAATGTTGCGGAAGCAGAAATGGCTGAGACACGGCCACCATTTTTGAGGATCTTACAGAGTAGTGATTTGAGACAGTGTGTTTATTTATATGCAAGCATTGCCTTAGTATTCTGATTGCCACTCCCTGGAACCATAACTGAATAATTTGAATGTGTACGTGATTCTTGGCTTGTGTGGCTTATGCATATACCAGTGCTCTCTGGGGATGGTTTTCTGAAAACCCACCTTGGTCAGAGTTCAGAGGATACTTCGAATGTAAGGTCGGATGCAAAGATAAAGGGAGTCTGTGGAATGCTGAAAGGGAGATAGTGGGGCCCTGCCGTCCGGGGATGCTGAGCAGGCTGTTTGAGTTGATGAACTGACTCTGAAGGAGGCAAAGATATGTACAGTTGATGGCAAGTGTTTGAGATGCGCTTTGACAAGTGGGGCCACCAAGAATCCCTGTAAACGGGAGCATACCTTAACATGTCTTCTGCAGATTAAGTATATGATTTGTGAAAATGCAGCTGACAGGGTTTGCTCAACCTAGGTCTTCATCTAGTTAAAGAAGTATCTCCTTGTTAGTCATTAACATAGTGATTCAAAGTGTGTACTGACCTTTGATAGAAGTGACTAGGAAATGTAAGGTGGTTCTGAAGTCTTTGCTTTAGGCCATTTATAATTTAAAATCACCTAGGGGCTTTCCTGGTGGCGCAGTGGTTAAGAATCCACCTGCCACTGCAGGGGACATGGGTTCGATCCCTGATCCGGGAAGATCCCACATGCTGCAGAGCAGCTAAGCCCGTGTGCCACAACTACTGAGCCTGTGCTCTATAGCCCACGAGCCACAACTACTGATGCCTGCGCACCTAGAGCCCGTGCTCTGCAACAAGAGAAGCCACTGCAATGAGAAGCCCACGCACCGTAATGAAGAGTAGCCCCCGCTCGCCGCAACTAGAGAAAGCCCGTGCGTGCACAGCAATGAAAACCCAGTGCAACCAAAAAATAATAATAATAAAATAAAATCACCTAAAACCTTGTGGGTCATTGTAAAGAACTCCGAATTTTTTACTGTGAATGAAATGGGGGTCCATCGGGTTTTTTGTTTGTTTGTTTGTTTGCGGTATGCGGGCCTCTCACTGTTGTGGCCTCTCCCGTTGCGGAGCACAGGCTCCAGACGCGCAGGCTCAGCGGCCATGGCTCACGGGCCCAGCTGCTCCGCGGCACGTGGGATCTTCCCGGACCGGGGCACGAACCCTTGTCCCCTGCATCAGCAGGTGGACTCTCAACCACTGCGCCACCAGGGAAGCCTGCATCGGGGGTTTTGAGTAGAGGAGAGACATGCATGATCTGCTTACCCCTTGAAAGGATTACCCTGGCACAAGTTCAGTAAGATTAACATGACTTACACTGGGGAGGGCGTGGGGGGTTGCAGTGATGAGAGGAAAGAAAGAGTCAAATTCTGGCTATACTTTTTTTGAAAGGTAGATCAGTAGGATTTCCTGGTGGATTGAATGTGAGATGTGTGAGAGGGAAGATAAGGATGACCTACTGGAGGGATTGGGTTGTCATCAGTAAGATAGGAAAGCCTTTCATTGATGTCAGTCTACCTGGGAGGATGAAGTTTGGATCTGTTAGCTTTGAGATACCTTTCAGACAAGAGGAGTGTCAGGTGGTCAGTTCTGGAGAGCTGTTGAGGCCAGGGACTTAAATGTGATGTACTCAGGATCTGGGTGCTTTTTAAAACTATGAGATAGGTGGAATGACCTGGGGAGTAAGCATGGAGTCAGGAGAGGAGAGGACCAGGACTGGGTACTTCAGGAGACTGGGCAGAGACAAGAAAGCAGCAGTGGAGGCTGCGCAGCTCCCAGGAGATAGAAGAAATGTAAGAGGACGTGCAGTATGCTGGAAACCGCTGTAGAAGGAAGTGATAAATTGTTTCAAATCCTGCTGATGTGTTAACTACAGTGAAGACAGAATTGACCACTGGATTAAGAACATGGAGGCCTTTAGTGACTTTGGCAAGCGTTTCAATGGAATATTGGTTCAAGTACAATTTTAGGGGATTTATGAGAATATGAGCAGCGTAACTGGAACCAGACTTTAGAAAACTTCTGTGGCATTTTGCTTCAAAGATAAGCAGAGAAACGGGGCAATAGTGAGAGGAAGTGCAGTCAAAAGGTTTTAAGATGAGAGAAATAACAGGAAAGATTTGTTGGAATAAAGTCCAACAAGAGTGGATGATCTAGGGTGCAAGTAAAGGTTGGCATTAAATAGAGGCATGGATAATCTCTAACAGCTGCCTAGTAGAGCTTGCTGTGATTAAGGAAATGTATATCTTACTGTCTTATATTGTAGCCACCTAGCCACATGTTGATACTGACCACTTGAAATACAGTTAATGTGATTAAATGACTGAATTTTAAAATTTTATTTAATTTCAACTTAAATAGCCATGTGTGGCTACTATTGAACAGTGCCGAGCTGTAATAAAAGGCTGAATATGGGTGCAAACCCTGGTAGAGGGGCTAACTGTGGAAGTTCTTTTAGGCTGCTTAAATTTTGAGTGAATTAGGAAACAGTCAACAGCTGAGAGTGAGGATGAGGGAGGAGATAACTGGGTGTTTGATGAAAAGAGAAAAGTGTGAAATAATTGGGAGAGTAAGAAAAGGAAGTGTGGATGGGGAAGTTCAGAGTGTCGACCAACATTAAGGGCTGCTTTCAGAGTTGTTTGTATTTACTATAATATAGCTTGGAGCAACAGAGAAGTAAACAGTTGGGGCATATCCTGAACAAACTGTATAGATAAAACATATTATTTTTAATTAGGGTAAAGCCTAAATAATTCTGTACATGGTTCCTTTCTTTAGAAATTGCTCTTTTTTTAAAATGTTAATCTTACATTTATTAAAAGTAACAGAATTATGGGTTTTTAATTGTTTTTGTTTTATTTTTCCCCTCTCATGTATAGCTTAACCGGGCAGAATTCGAAGATCAAGATGATGAAGCCAGAGTTCAGTATGAGGGTTTTCGACCTGGGATGTATGTCCGAATTGAGATAGAAAACGTCCCCTGTGAATTCGTGCTTAACTTTGACCCACATTACCCAATTATTTTGGGTGGTTTGGGCAATAGTGAGGGCAATGTTGGATATGTACAGGTAGGTACCCTTCACTGTATGCTTAACGATTGAGGTTCTTTGGTCATACTTGTACCAGTAATCTTACTGAAATCTCTTCTCCTTTCAGATGCGTCTGAAGAAACATCGTTGGTATAAGAAAATCCTCAAGTCCCGAGATCCAGTCATTTTTTCTGTAGGGTGGAGGAGGTTTCAGACCATCCCACTTTATTATATTGAAGACCACAATGGAAGACAGAGGCTTCTGAAATACACCCCACAGCACATGCATTGTGGAGCAACCTTTTGGGGTAAAAAGGGATTAGAATAAACTTGCTTGTAGGTTAATTTAAATCTTTTAAGCTTTATCATTGTAGTTTTGCTTTTTTCCTTTCATGAAATCCCAATTCATAAGGTTTTTCTCTTTTTTTTGGATTGGAGTATATATGTAAAGCAGAATCCAGAATGTGTGGTTCACTGTATTTTTTTTTTTTTCCTGTTTCCTTTAAGGTCCTATCACTCCGCAGGGTACTGGGTTCTTGGCAGTACAGTCTGTCAGTGGCATAATGGTAACTATCTTTGATCGTTTATTTTATAGATTGTGTTTGAGATATAATGTCTGGATTATGGGATATGTACCTGAAACTTTTAAGTTGAAAATTATTCATTTTAAGTATTTATAGTAAACTCTTTGCTTTTAAATTTCCTGCATCTTTTTTTTTTTTTTTTTTTGTGGTACGCGGGCCTCCCACCACCGCGGCCTCTCCTGCCTAGGAGCACAGGCTCCGGACACACAGGCCCAGCGGCCATGGCCCACGGGCCCAGCCGCTCTGCGGTACGTGGGATCCTCCCAGACCGGGGCACGAACCCCTGCCCCCTGCACCGGCAGGCAGACTCCCAACCACTGTGCCACTAGGGAAGCCCTTTCCTGCATCCTTTTAAGTAAGGTGTGGGAGTAGAGAAAAGGGAAATAGAAGAATTGTAATGGTACTGATGACATTTTATATTTTTATGCTTTTATATTTTATGCTTTTTAATATTATTCTAAAAATATTTAAGCAGTGCTCACCATGAGCTAACCACTCAACTAGGTTCTGGCATACATTGGATACCAGCTAGACATAAGACTACCCCCTAGTAATCTGGTTTAGCAAGGTATGTTCACGCAGTCTTCATTTGACCAATCAGAGCAGGTTTTATTGGCCTCATTTAACAGAAAAGAAAACAGAAAAATGGGCAAATGGAATCCATCCTTAATGTCCAAAATTTAATTTCTCAAACATTGTAGCCAAATCTTCATATTCCCTTTCATTCATTCATCTTTGTGAAACTGTGTTACTGTGAAATCACCCTCAGGAAAATGCTCAAGATATCATCATTAATTTTGGCGTACATGTATTATAGTTTCAGATAGCTTTTGTTAAAACACTGTTTTGAATGTTCATATATTCTTTCTTACTTTTTCTTAGGTGATTGTAAGTGAATTGCACTTTGGTAATTTGTTGCATTACAGAGAAATGTAGTTCTTCTCTTGCTGACATTATTCCTGTATTCACATTTTGGGGGTTCCTTTTTAGGCTGATTTCCGGATAGCTGCCACAGGAGTTGTCCTTGATCTGGATAAATCTATAAAAATTGTGAAGAAATTAAAGCTAACTGGTTTTCCATATAAAATTTTCAAGAACACTTCATTCATTAAGGTATATATATATATATATATCTGTATATTCATATGCTTATAAATGTGTATATTGTTAAAAGAGGAATGAAATATTCTAATATAGGTCTAAGATATAGTTCTAATGTTTTCAGAAAAGTATTTGAAATCTTTTATAAACTTGGTCTTTGATATTTTTAGTTTACTTCTTTATATTTTACATTCTTTATATTTAGTTTACTTCTTTAGATTTCTGAGCATATTTAAGTAACACAGAGCAATATAACATGGGAGGGTAGTTTGAGCAACATTTATTGAAAATTTCATCAGTAGAGGGTGTTTCCATTAAAAACAGAGTTAAGATGATCATAAAATGTTCTTATAACGTAATACTACCATCAGCATTTATCTTGCTGTCTCTTTATTTTCTGAGTGTGTGCACCTAAGTAATAGGATATGAACTGTAGTCAAGCCCTGTGAGATGACAGCAAAGGCCATCTAGGCCAGTTCAGACCAATAAATATCTTTTTGATCTTCTCTTCTACAAAGATAGCAGTGATGAACATGTTAATGAGCCCACAATAGAGTCTTAATTAGTGTTATTTCAGGGAAGATAGAGTTGTATTCCTTTTGACCTAGTAATTCCACCTTTAGGGGGAAAATAGAGTTGATTTTTTATCACCTTTCAATGAATTATTTTTTGTTTTTTAACCAAGGATATATTTATGAACTAAGAAGTAAAATATCTGACTTTGTGTGTATGTATTTTTTTAATATATATATGTATATGTATATATATACCTGTAGGGAATGTTTAATTCTGCTTTGGAAGTGGCCAAATTTGAAGGTGCTGTGATTCGAACTGTCAGTGGAATAAGGGGACAGATCAAGAAGGCGCTCCGGGCTCCAGAAGGAGCTTTCCGGGCCACCTTTGAGGATAAACTGCTGATGAGTGGTAAATATCCTTTGTGGTGTGTTCTTAACAGCATGTTACCTACCATTCACTATTGATTTCTAGCCAGTGTGAACTATAGGTGGTAGTTTATGTCTTTAGAAACAGGCGTCAGCTGTAGCTCTCCCCAGTTGGAGCATCTTGTGTAGCACGCCCAGCCACACCCAGTAAAAGCTTTGTGTTATTCAAAAGTAGTTCACTTGGTGAAGCCTCTCTTCAAATACTGTGCAGCCAGCTAGAGAAGTTTGGAGTGAATATTTTGTTCTTTTGTTTACCGAGATGGATATGAATCTTCTTTTGAAAATGTTAATGTAAATTTCCTCTCTTTCCAGACATTGTCTTCATGAGAACTTGGTATCCTGTCTCTGTTCCAGCCTTCTATAACCCAGTAACATCTTTGTTGAAACCAGCTGGTGAGAAAGACACCTGGTCAGGAATGCGGACAACTGGTCAACTCCGGCTCTCCCATGGCATCAAACTAAAGGCCAGCAAGGATTCTCTGTATAAGGTACAGTCAATCACCCATGTGCTCTGTAGATGGGTGTCACCCAGAAGCTTCATATGTAATGTTTTTTGTGGTTTGAATTTTCAAGTAGAAAGTCTAACATGAAATTTGAATGAACATGTTGTATATTCAGACTATTTTGGAAGGAACACAGGACAAGTGGTAGTAGTGGTTTTCTGTGGATTGGAAAGGAGACCTAAACTTTTCACCTCTTTTGAACTATATACCTCTTTTGAACTTTTTTTTGTACTATATACATGTATTAATTTGAAAAGCATTAATGTACTGATTCTTATTGAAGCAAGGGGGAGGGTTTTTTTTGAGAGTTTTAATAAACTTTTTGTTGAAGTGTTAACATACACACAGAAAAGCACACAAATAATAAGTGTATACAGCTCATTGAATTTTAGCGTACCTAAGTTGCCATCGCCTGGATCAAGCAATAGAATTACCAGCACAGTAGAAGTCCCCCTTGTGACCTCTCCCAGTCACTACCCCACCTCCACCTCAGAGATAGCCGCTATCCCAACCCCTGACACGGAAATTTCTTCTGCCTTTTTTTGAGCTTTATAAAATATACCATGTACTGTTTTGCCTGGTTTCTTTCCTTCAGTATTATGAGATTCATCCATGTTCTTGTATATAGCAGACATTTATTTGTTTTTATTGTTGAGTAGAATTTCATTGTATGAGAATGTCGGTTTTATCCATTGATGGACAGTGTTTCCAATTTTTGGCTATTATAAATGCTGCCCTGAACACTTATATGCAACTTGTTTGGTGTGCATGTGCACACAGTTCCGTTCCATAGATCTCCATGGGTGGGATTGCCAGATTACAGGGTACATGCGTTCAACATCAGTGTGTGATCCCTGTAGTATACTGAAATACCAGGTTAGACTTGAACAGCTTATCAGATTTCTAGTTACTCCACATCCTTTCCAGTAGTTGGCCTCATCAGTATTTTAAAATGTTAAGTTCTTAGTGCCTGTCTGGATTCCCATTTTCATTCAAGTTTTGGTCTCTGAGAATGTCCATTGTTTGTTCACAGGTTAACAATGCGTTTGACAAGATTTGTTTGTGTTAATGCAGGATATTTAATTGTTTTGTAATAAGAGGGCAATTCAGGGTATCGGTCTGCCATTCTGCTAGAAACAGAAGTTTTTTCCAGACATTAGTTTTTCTGTAAAATAGTTAATAAAATTTGAATCACATTGCCATGAATTTCAGTTAAAATATACTTCAGGACATAGTACCTGTTGTCCAGTCTGTGGTGCTTACTTGTTTTTGAGAAGGAGATTTCTCTGATTTCTTTCATTCTAAAATATTTTGGTGTCTTAAACAGAGAGTATTGAATATCATTGTGGGTGATGTCTTTAACAGTAAATTTATAAAGATACAGCAGACATATTCTCTATATAGTTGTCGACCTTGGTAAAGGTCTAGGGCAAAACTTTCAACTTATTAACTACTTCTGAGGCAGTTAAGAATTTTGGTCATCTCAATTTAAGCATAGAATTTGGTTAGCTTGAAAACTGAATGTAGAAGGAGTTTTGCCTTCATTAGTCATTTAAATGTCACTTTTCTCAACCAGCCTTCTATTAGAAACAGAATAAAGTTAAACTTCTTAATGAGAATCAGGGATGGGGGCATTTCAGCTGCTCATTGGCGGAATAACTATGTCCTTAAATCCAGAGAGGTTTATAGTCAAGATGAAAAGCTAGTTATTCTTGTTAGGCTAGAAAAAACCATCTCAGTGCCCCAAAGATAAGGCCAGAGTTTTTCATTAACAGAAACTTTGGATCTTTTCATCTGCTCTGTTGAGATCCTATCGTCCATACTATAGATATGGGCACAGTTGATTTCTTGGAAGAATTGTAAATATGTATATTCTATATATTCCTTTGTTTTGCTTGCAGCTGTGCATGCCCATTGAGGCAATATATATTTGATGGATGATTGAGTCCTCATTTCTGATGGTCAGCAAACTGTGGTGTTACTGATCTTGTGGAAAAATCAACACATTGAGAAGATTTTATGCAAGTTTTAAATGTACATAGATCATAATATAAATACGTCACAGTCTTTGTTTTATTTTTCTTTTTCAGCCAGTTGTGAGGCAAAAGAAACATTTTAATTCACTGCACATTCCAAAAGCCTTGCAGAAGGCCCTGCCATTTAAAAGCAAGCCCAAGACGCAAGCAAAGGCAGGCAAGATTCCGAAGGACAGACTGAGACCAGCTGTCGTACGGGAGCCTCATGAAAGGAAGGTACTGTTGATGGACGGCTTCCAGCATGTTGCATTTAGATGTGAAAATAATGCTTTCAGTAACACACGTGGCATTTTTACTGCATTCTCACTTTTCATTAGGAAAGGATAAGGGCCAGACTTATTCAAGGCACTTGATCTGGAAGTTAGAAGAAAGGCCGGAGTCCATTTCACTTGTTTTGTTTAGTCATGCTCTGCCTTATGCATTTTAATGGGGAATAATAGGCACACAGCTGGCAAGTCACTCTTAGTTGTACAGAGTATCCACAGAGTGATTTAACAAAGGTGGTTTTGTGGTCAAGGCCATTATTTAAGTATTTTGCTAAGTAAATATGCTCCTACTTATATTTCCATGCAAATTATAATTTCCTAGATAAATTTTCACTAGGTTAATATTCATTTGGATCATGAATTGATTGTAACTTTGATGCCATCAGCTGTGGTGTTTAGGCCTCCTGAAACTTAGAAGGAAAGCATGCTGTAGCTTTAAGAATATTCTGATGCTCACTGGGTTTTGCCCTTGTCAGATCCTTGCGCTGCTGGATGCTCTGAGTACAGTGCACAGTGAGAAGATGAAGAAAGCCAAGGAGCAACGACATCTACACAACAAAGAACACTTCAAAGTGAAGCAGAAGGAGGAAGAAGAGAAACTGAAGCGACAGAAGGACCTCAGGAAGAAGCTCTACCGAATTCAGGGTCAGAAAGAAAGAAGAAATCAGAAGTCCAGCCTGAAGGGGCCTGAGGAGCAATTGAAGTGATCTCCAGACAGGCAGACAGACAGACAGTCATTTGAATCTGCAGTGATAAATGGTTTCATATATTGTAGTACTTTTAAATAACAGGTCAGGGGACTGGAGCCTAAGCACAACCTCTTTGTTGGATATATCGCCTAGACTGTGCCTTTGAGAGGAGACATGGAGACTGCTGATAGGACACCTGTTCATTCTCAACACCTGGGTTATGTCACAATAAAGCGATATAATTGATGGTTTTCTAGATTCCCTCACATTCCTCTTACCTGTCTCAGTTTAATTTTGTGCTACAAAAGTATCATTAAAATATTTTCTTGTTAATTTGGCTTAGTAGTTTTCATTAGGGAATGAATGCTTGATAATTGCTTACTCTGCCACCTTCATGATGAGTCTTCCAGAAGGGAAAAAATATTAACTTGAATCCTCAGCATTAAGGTAAAATTTTAGAGAAGGATATATAGTTATCTTTATTTTTTTGTCTGTCACATGTTATATTCTTGATTATTGACCCTAATGGACATGTTACATCTTATTTCACATGTTTTTCAAGTTAGTATAATAGCTAGTTAACACTAAATACTGTTTTAATGCTTTTAGACTAGGGATGACATCTGTGGAGGAAGTTAGCATTCTCTCTGAAGTTCATGTTGATATACTCTCTGGGTCTAAAATGCATGCCTGAGAGCCATCAACACCTTGCTGGGAGTGGGTAGAATCATCTAGGAATAAGAAGGGATCAAGATGAAACAGTCAGGTCTTAGTCCAGCGTTCTTTCCTCAGCACCTTCACTACCTCAAAGAACATCACCAAGTCCAATCCGCATATGCAGGCCAGCGCCCAAGAAGCCCAGATGATCCTGCCGAGATGTCCATTTGACTAAAAGCTGATCAGGTCCAGCTTAGCAAGGCTGTGCACAGAAGCCAGACACATAACTGACATGAACAAAGAGGGCAGCCTGTCTTTCCCAGTGTCTTAAACTACTTCCTGCAGACTTGACCATCCCAGTGCTAGGTGCAAGGAGGGTCTGGGTAGGGCTCCAGGCTCTGCCACTCTTCATGGTGTGACTGGGTAAGTTCCTGAGTATCTTGGAGTTTCAAGTTTCTTATGGGGATTAGTTTATCATCCCCAAGTAATATGGGGATGATAAACTAATCTTGCAGCCTGTGAGGATTTAATGAGACAAAATGCAAAGTGACTGGTACAGAACAGATTTTTAAATTTTTTGTTTCTCCTTCTGGTCCCATTTCAAAGGGTTGTGTAGGTCTGTGAATTTGAACACTTATATAGGTTTTAAAACATACCTATATATTCATGTAATCAACACGACTATCAAGATACCAAACAGTCCCATCTTTCCAAAGCACTTCCTCATGCTATGCAACCCAAGCCTTCCCCACTTCCCCACTCCCCACTACCAAAAAAACTGATGTGTTTTTCATCACTACAACTTTGTCATTTCAAGAATATCATGTAAGTGGAACAATACAGTATGTAATCTTTTGAAATTGGGATCATATCTTTGAGATTCGTCCCAATTGTCCTGTGTATCAATGGTGCGTTCCTTTTGATTACTAAATAGTTACCAGCTGTACAGGCAGGCCACAGCTGGTTATCCATTCTCCAGTGGAAGAGCATTGTGGTTGTTTCTAGTTTTGGGCAGTTATGAATGTGGCTGCTGTAAATATCTGTATAGAGGTTTTCGTGTGAACATAAGTTTTATTACTCCAGGGTAAAAATACCCAGGAGTAGCACTTCTGGGTCATATGGTTTAAAAGAACTGTCAGACTGTCTTCTGGAGGGGCTGTACCATTTTGCATTCCATCTCACTGGTTTTAATTTGCATTTCCCTAATGACCAATAATATTGAGCATCTTTGCATATGCTTACTTGCCTTTCATATACTATGTCCTCTTTGGTGAAGTTTATGTTCAAGTCTTTTGCCTACTTTTTATTTGGATCTTTTTTTTTTTTTTTTGCGGTACGTGGGCGTCTCACCGTTGTGGCCTCTCCTGTTGTGGAGCACAGGCCCCGGATGCGCAGGCTCAGCGGCCATGGCTCACGGGCCCAGCTGCTCTGCGGCATGCGGGATCTTCCCAGACCGGGGCACGAACCCGTGTCCCCTGCATCGGCAGGCAGACTCTCAACCACTGTGCCACCAGGGAAGCCCTGGATCGTTTTCTTATTGTTGATTTTGAGAGTTTTTAATATATTTTGGAAGCAGTCCTTTGTCACATATGTGATTTGCAAATACTTTCTCCTAGTCTATTGCTGTCTTTTCGTTCTCTTAACGGTGTCTTTTGCAAAATTTAAAATATTTGTCAAGACTAATTTATTACTTTTTTTCTTTTATGAATCGTGCATTTGGTGTCATGGCTCAGAACTCTTTTCCTAACCACAGATCATGAAGATTTTCTGTGTTTTCTTCTAAAAGCTTTATAGCTTTACAATTTTCATTTTGAGTTAACTTTTGTATAAGGTGTGAGATTTAGATTGGGGTATTTTTTTTTTAACTTACAGACAACAAATTGTTCTAATACCATTTGTTGAAAGGCTATCCTTTCTCCATTGAGATACATTTGCATCCTTGTCAAAAATCATTTGGGCATATTTGTGAGGGTATATCCTGGGCTCTCTGTTCTGTTCCGTTCGTTGATTGATGCGTCTATACCGTTGCTGCAAGATCTTGATTATTGTAGCTTTACAGTAAGTCTTAAAATTGGGAAGTGTGATTCCTCTAAATAAATTTATTTCTTTTTCAAAATTGTTTCAGCTGTTCTAGGGCCTTTCCCTTTTGGTATAAATTTTAATAAGCTTGCCTACATTTACCAAAAAATCCTGCTGTGATTTTCATTGCATTAAATCTGTAGATCAACTTGGAGAGCATTGACATTTTCACTCTGTTGGGTCCTCCAGTCGATGGCATATCTCCCCATTTATTTAGGACTGTTTTTGGCTTCAAACTGTTTGCTGCTAGTTTTTAGAAAAACGATTAATTTTTGTATGTTGAGCTTACATTCTGTGACGTTACTAGGCCCATTTATTCTAGATCTTTCTTGTGGGGGAGGGGAACACATTCCTTGGGATTTTATACTTAGACTGTCATGTTGTCTGCAAGCAGAGACAGTTTTTATTCCTTCCTTTCCAACTGTATGCCTTTTTTTCTTATGTGTTACACTGGATAGGACTTCCAGTATAATGGGAAATTGGACTGTTCAATGTGGGCATCCTTGCTTTGGTCCCAATTTTTTTGTAGATGCTCCTTCTCAGTTTGAGGAAATTCCTTTCAGTGCCTGGTTAGCTGGGAATCTTTATCATGAATGAATGTTGAATCTTGCCAAATGCTTTTTCTTCATCAATTTATATAATCATGTGGTTTTTCATCTTTCGACTGTTAATATGATGATTACATTGATTTATTTTTCAAACCATATTTGAACCTACACAGATGAACCTACATAGATATTGCATCAAGTGTAGCAAACAAAATATTAAAAAATAATATTTACAATTGAGTGACGTTTATCCCAATATTGTATCCCTGGATGGTGTATTATTATTTTAATATTTTGCTAGATTTCATGCACTAATGTTTTGTTGAGGATTTTTGCATCTATATTTATAAGGGATATGGTTCTGTAGAGTTCTTTTGTCTTTTATCTGATGATGGTATCAGGGTAATGCTGACCTTATAAGATGATTTGGGAAATGTTCCCTCCCCTTTTATATTCTGGAATTGATTGGGTAGAATTGTTGTTATTTCTTCATTAAATGTTTGATAGAATTTGTCAATGAGGGAATTCCCTGGTGGTCCAGTGGTTAGGACTCTGTGCTTCCACTGCAGGGGGCATGGGTTTGATCCCTAGTCAGGGAAATAAGATCCCGCAAGCTGCGTGGTACAGCCAAAACAAAACAAAACAAAACAGAATTTGTCAATGAAACCATCTAGGCTTGGACATTTAAAAAAATTTTTTTAACAATGAATTTAATATCTTTAATAGTTACAGGGCTATTCAGATTATTTTGTCTTGAGTGAATTATGGTAGGTTATGAAATGGAATTGATTTATTTCACCTAAGTTGTCAAATCTATAAGTATAAAGTTATTTGTAGGAAGGATTCCCTTACTACCCTTTTACTATCTTTTGGGTCTGTAGTGATATCACCTCTTTTCGTTCCTGATATCGGTAGTTTGTGTCTTCTCTACTTTTGTTCTTTTGTTTAGTCTTCCTAGAAGTTTATTAATTTTATTGATTTATTTTCAAAGAATGAGCTTTGGGTTTCATTGATTTTCTCTGTTCTTTTGCTGTTTTCAATTTCATTGGTGTCTGCTCTTTATTTCTTTTCTTGCACTTGCCTTGATTTTTTTCTGTTCTTTTTTCCTAATGTCTTAAGGTTGAAGCTTAGATTAATGATTTGAGACCTTTCTTCTTTTTTAATATAAGCATTCAATGCCATACATGTCCCTGTAAGCACTGTGTAGCTGCACGTCCCAACCAGACTTCTGTGGCCTGTGGTCACAGTGTCAGTTCCATTTACAAAGTCCTTGCAGTGTTATTTGGGTCAGTCCCACGTGTGGATTACCCATAGCCTGGGTAGGACCGGGACACTGATCTGTCTCTTAGGCCCATTCTCAGAGTTAATGATATGCTCTTTAGAGTCAGATCTATGCATGCACAGCTCAGGAGGGAGCCCAGGAGATCATTAACAAATCTGGGGGGTCACTGTCCTGAACTCCTCCCGTTCCATGATTTCCTGGTACTTTCCAGTCACCTGGGCTCTCCTTTTTAGCCCTCCATCCAAGACACTGCAGCTTCCTTACCATGACTGTGCCCACATCCAGGGTCAAGCAGTCAAAGGACAGAGAGTAAGAAAACAATGGTTAAAAGAAAAAAACAAACCCACCCTACTTGGATCAAAAAAAAAGGGTGTGCCTGTGGGCTGCAGGGGGCTGGGGCAGGAGAAATGGAGTAGAGAAGAGGGGGTATTTCTTGCACTCTCTCTGGGTGTTAGGAGACACTTTTCTGCTCCTCAGCCAGAACCAGAGGGCTTTCCTGAGCGCTCTGTTTGCACCTATGTCCACCTCCGAGTCCAGGCTGCCTAGAGTGAGGATAACTGTGAGATACTAGGGAAGGGAAAATGGTACAACTCACCACCAGCTCAATGTTACTTTGAATTATGGTCTCGTGTCCCAATTCTCCTGCTGTTATTTGATTTTAAAAGTCCTCAAATAGCTTCTCCGTGCATTCTATTCAGCTTTTACACTTGCGTTTCAGTGGGAGACAGAGCAAAATGTACTTACTTACTTACTCTGTTTTTCCCTGA